AGAGAGAGAGAGAGAGAGAGAGAGAGAGAGAGAGAGAGAGAGAGAGAGAGAGAGAGAGAGAGAGAGAGAGAGAGAGAGAGAGAGAGAGAGAGAGAGAGAGAGAGAGAGAGAGAGAGAGAGAGAGAGAGAGAGAGAGAGAGAGAGAGAGAGAGAGAGAGAGAGAGAGGAATCATCCACTTAGAACAAGTTCACTTATACTTATTATATTTAATAATTCATGTTTTACATCAAATTTTTAATGATTCAACCATTAAATTAAAAGTTCTTAATACATAAATTAATTATATAAAATTTAAAAAAAATTAAAAACTATTTAATACTCTATTTTATTAATTTAATTTGACGGATAATCATAAATACATTTTATATATTAATTTAAATTAATAAAACAATGTATCAAATAACTTTTAATTTTTTTAAAATTTTTTGCAGACTTTAACTTATGCATTAAAAACTTTTAATTTAATGATTAAATTGTTGAAATTTGATGTAGAACATAAATTATTAAGTGAAATAAATGTAAGTATATTTATTCTTGAAAATAAGTATATCCCTTCTCATATATATATATATATATATATATAATTATGAAAAATTATTATCTCTTTTATATCTATCTAAATCTATTGTGATATGATTATAAAATCTCATTATTTTTATTATTAGCCTTTTTATGTATTATATTCATTTATAAAAAGGTAAAATATATTTTAGGTCTTTTTAGAATATTTTAAATTTGGTTTTATTCCTTCAAATTTTTAGTCTTATTTTTAGTCTTTTGTAATATGAAGATGCATTGCTTTTTGTTCAAATAGTTATTTATACTATATTTTTATTAAAAAAAACAATAATATTAAAATAAATTAAATGAAAATTTTTATATTTGTTGACATTATGATATTTGTTTGATGCATTAAAATATGTCATTTTTAATAAAATTATGTATCTATTTTTATGTTATGACTATTTATATCTTAAATATTTATATATAAGATTCATATCAACAAGTCATTAATTTGGATGGTGTTGAACTTAATTCTCTTAACCAAGATATCAAGTTTAATGACAAATTTACTTATATTTGAAAAGGTACAATTTTGACTTTAAGGATATACTATAGTAATTGGGGTAACCATCCTGGTTTTCTAGCAAGAATTAATTATTTATAAAGTCAATGAATATTCCATAAATTATAACATGGTTAGCAAAAATATATAAATATCAATATTTATTATTTTGCTTAAACTCCATTAAATGTTAAGATTGACCCATATGATTATAACTATTTTTTTTTAATATCTTGTAAATAGTAAGTCAAAACCATTATTTTACAAAACATTGGAGGCACCAATGAAAAATACTTTGTTGGCATTTTGATGGACAATTAACAGGGGCATACAAATCAACAATTTTTAAATATTTGGGGACATATAAATTGAGGGAAAATTACTTGGGACAATATTTATAAAAAATAAATGTTTATAAACATAAAGTGCAATTAAACTTCTATTAAATATGTCATGTCATTAATTTTTTTTTTAAGAAACAAATTAATTAATTTCTGAGCACGAAATAAATATGGTAATATTCAATATCTGCTAGAATGAAATACAAATTTTATATTTGTTGAGTGAGAAAATGAAAATAGATATAAGGTACAACATATATAGCTCTATCACTATTCACTATTAATTGATAGATTTTTTTAAAAAAAATTTAATGACAATTCTTCATCGGTAGTTAAAACTTAAAATTAAAGATTTAATTTAATAAGACACTTTAAAACAGATAAAAATATTAACATACCATGTTACCATAATAAAAAAAATTATTATATCATAGTTTTCAGTCAGTTACTAAATAAATTTTTAATGACAAAATTTTAAAATTACAAATTTCTTTCTAAAGTGCTTTTAACTATACAATTTTAACTAAATCTGAAAAAACTATTCAGACTTACATATTAATTTAACATTTTAAAAATCGTTTAAATGTTCCCCTTTCATTAGTTTCATTTAAATTATTGTAATTTTGTTTTCACCTATACACTTCCTCAACGACTACTCTCGTAATTGGACGGAAAAGATAAAAACATAACGAGTTTGAAAATTAAGAAATTTAATTAAAACTTTTGTTAAAATAAAAAAACCAAATTAAGATAATTAATAAATAGGGAATTAAATAAGTAATTATACTATTTTAGTTATGATTTAATAAGAATAAAAAAATACTAAAAATAAAAAATGGTTTCGTCCAATCATTGTCCACTAAACTTGACATAAAACGTGACATATTCCACAAACGAACATCTTCTTCGTCGGTTTTCATCATCTAATTTTCAAAAGTCGCCGGAGAGCGGAACCGTTCGGAGGCTTCTCAGTTTTCCGGCGATGGATTCCGGCGCGTGGTTGCTGTTCCTTCTGTCGGCCTCGACGATCGGCCACCTCCGTTCGGAACCGATGCTGAGGCTGCCGTCGGAGAAGGAAATCCCTAGCGATTACTGCGATAGTTGGAGGCTGGCGGTGGAGACGAACAATGCCGGCGCGTGGGAGCGCGTGCCGCCGAGTTGCGTGGGGTTTGTGGCGGAGTACATGAGCGGAAAGCGGTATCGGAGGGACTGCGACGTTGTCGGGAAACTGTCGTCGGCGTTCGCGAGAAGCGTGGAATTGGTCGGAGACGGAAGAGACGCGTGGGTGTTCGACATCGACGAGACGCTGCTTTCCAATCTGCCTTACTACCAAGAGATCGGATTCGGGTAAGTTTGTTAGCATTTTGCAGCTGTTAGATTTTGATTGAATTGGAATAGATTCGTTCATTCGTTTATTAGGGTCCCACTGTTTGCCATCTATCATCGTTCAAATAATTAGTGATATTGTTAATTATTAATTATATATAAACAAAAATATTGAACACCCAAGCGCGGGAATCAACAGGTATAGCATTGTTCTTATTTACTTAATGATCAACTTAGATAGAATTTGTTGTTCCTTGATTAATCATCTCAAGTTTGAACCTGGGTAATTATAATTGCATTAGATATTTAGAGAATTTTGTTGTACATAGTTTTATGAGCCTTGAGCATGATGATATTTATTTTATTAAAGAATTACAATGATATCAACAAAGTTACGATCTACTACCTGTGCATACTTTCCTAAACTCATCATAAGTGAACCTAGCGGTTTATCTTTGGAAGAAGAAAATAAAAATAAAAATGTTGTTTATATATATATATAT